CATCCACTCGCATACAACATCTGGGTGCAGTCATAGATTCCAACTCCTGCCAGGTGCCGCCTGACCAACCTGAAGAGCAGAGTGAAGCGCTACCATCAGTCCAGGTCGGTACCGATCGTCCAGCTGTTCCAGCTCTTGGGGATCATGGTCTCCTGTCTGAAGGTGGTTCCCTGGGCCCGTCTGCATGCCAGGGAACTGCAATGGTTTCTCCTCCCAATGCAGAGAGCGAAAATCAGCAACTCCCACAGGCGCGTACGCCTCCCACAGAAGGTGACCCGATCCCTGGCCTGGTGGAGGTCCAAGGCAGTCATGAAAGGCTGTCTGTTCAAAGAACCAGAAAGAGTCATTGTGACCACAGACGCCAGCCTTCTGGGGTGGGGCGCCCACTGTCAGGGCCAACTTGCCCAGGGCCAGTGGTCTCAGAGGGAGGCTGCCCACAGCATCAACTGGATAGAGCTGAGGGCAGCCCGACTCGCGCTTCGCCGATTTGCAGGGCTGATAAAGGGACATCATGTACTGTTAATGACAGACAATGTTGCGACAAAAGCCCACATAAACAGGCAGGGAGGTACCCATTCAAAGGGGCTCATGCTCGAGGCAGAGGCTCTGGGCAGGTGGGCGGAGCGACATCTGGCTTCTCTCAGAGCAGATCATATTTCCAGAACCAGCAACCGGGAGACAGACTGGTTGAGCCGACAGCGCATCAATCACTCGGAGTGGCGCCTACACCCGGACCTGTTCCAATAGATCATGAGGAGATTCGGCAAACCGCAAGTAGACCTCTTTGCCACACATTCCAACACACAACTGTCACGATTCTTCAGCCATTACCAATCGCCGTTGGAGGAAGGGACGAATGCACTGAGGTGCAAGTGGCCCCGAGAACTCTTATACGCATTCCCTCCTCTGCCCCTCATTCCTCAGGTAGTGGCCAAGCTCCTGACCAAACGGGCAGAAGTTCTGGTGGCACCATTCTGGCCCAGGAAGTCCTGGTACGCAGACCTTGTCAGTCTCTTTGTTCAGAGACCGTGGCGAATTCCTCAAGATCAAGTCTCCCTCAGCCAGGGGGCCATCAGTCATCCAGACCCCCAGTGGCTACAACTAGCCGTCTGGCACTTGAGGGGGACCTCCTTAGGAAACAGAACATCTCTGACAAGGTCATACGAACAATACAAGCATCCAGGAAACCTTCCACTACCAGAATATACGGTGCGACCTGGGCCGCCTTCTCAGCGTGGTGCAAGGCTAGAGACATTGTTGACTTTTCAGCCTCAGTCCCTCAGACCTTGGACTTCCTACAGGAGGGTCTAGATAAAGGTCTGGCGCCCAGTACACTCAGGCGTCAGGTTGCAGCGCTGTCAACCATCCTGGACAGGGGCTTGTCTCGTTCTCTCAGCCAGCACCCTCAAATTAAGAGCTTTCTGAAGGGCGCAGCAAACATCAGTCCCCCAACGGTCCGCCGTTACCCATCCTGGGACCTACCATTTGTCTTAAGGGCTCTGACGGGTCCCCCGTTTGAGCCTCTGCGTACGTCTAGTCTATGCCACCTGACCATCAAGGCTGCCTTTCTGGTGGCTATCACTTCTGCATGCAGGGTGTCCGAATTGGCGGCTCTCTCAGTCAGGGAGGACCTGTGCGTGATCCACACCGACAGGGTTATATTGAGACTCGATCTCTCATTTACCCCTAAAATTAACTCTCTGTTCCA